TTCAGATCATTCAAAAACAAACAGAAATCGAAACACTTTTGCTAAAACATTCTAACACACACATAAACAATTGCGAGCTCGCTTACATTCAAACTAAAACAACACACACTAACATACAATATTCAGATTTTGGAAATATGAGAAACTTTCCAAAAACTGAAAGCAAACGAATTTGCTTAAGGGTGGCCAACCCTTCTTTATAGAATTTCCTGAACTGTAATATTGTAAATATCAAAATAGAAAAGAATTAAAATTAGAAAAATATAATTTAAACATTTGCTATTTTTGGATAATTAAATGAGGATAAATATTTCATAATAATTATAATTAAGTAATTACTATTAAGTACATACAATGAGTAAAGTATATTAAAGCCATTACAACTTCAATATAAATTATACATATGTAGAACAAAAATCAAATTAACAAAATTATTATTACGAAAAAGAGAAAACAAAATCATATTCAAATTAACTAAACTTAAATTGATTAAAATATAATCAATTAATTGAAATTAAAATTGAGATCTTCTCCAAATCAATAATAATTTAATGCAACCTAAACTAAAAGATGCAAATGAAACGAAAATACGGACAAGAACAAAGGGAATCAATTAATTAATAATTTAGAATTGGCGCATTAATTTAAAAATATAAAAACCTGAAAAGAATTGAAAATAATTTAAGAAAAAATGCAAAATTAAGTAATAATTTTGAATAAGCGCAGTAATAATTGAAATTATGAAAACCTGAAAAGAATTTAAGAAAAAGAAGCAAGAGTAATTAAAAATTTTGAATAAACATAGTAATCATTAAAATTATGAAAATATATTTTTAAGCTGATGGGGGAGGGCTGCTTGTTATGAATCCCGTGTGGTATAAAATCACTTACTACTTGATGTCTTCATCTCCAACTGCTGCATCTCTGCATATCTCCATCTCAGCCCTCGTTGTTGGTTGGCACCCACTCACGAATATTCGCGACATTAAGCAAAAAGTACGCACAAACTTCCCGGAAATTAACACTCTCGTGATCCGAATAATAATTAAAATTTTAAACTGCAATCACGGTTGAAAAACAAGAGCCGAAGCCTTAAACTTGTTTTCAAAATAACGCA